CTTTGCGGATCTCTCAAAAGTGCCGCCAGCTTCTGCCAGCGTGGCCTCCAGCTTTGTCCCTCGAACCGAGAGCTGCTCGATACCAAGAACAACATTAACACGGTAGCTCGTCGGAGACTCCGCCGCGACGATGTCGACATCGACTACCCCAACCTCCCCGACGGCGGCCTCGTTCGCCGTGAGGTGTATCCCTGGAACGACCATGAGCCTGATCGATTCTCGGACGAGTCGCTTACGGACCTGAATGAGCACTTGAGCCAAATAGCCCCCAAGTGCGCAGTCGAGGTTGCTACCCTGCCCATCTTGCTCGAGGGAGCCAGCAGTACCGACGACTACGAGATCATTCCGACGTGCAAGCAGCTCGGTGTCTTTGCCAAGGAGGACATTGCTCCTGGCGAGGTGGTTCTCAGGGAATATTCTCTCCTAACTGCCAATAACCGCTTGAAAGACTCCATCTGCGACGCCTGCAGCTCCGATTTGCCGCCACTCGGCAGTGAGAATGAACCTGTCAGTTGCGACGAATGTTACGACACTGTTTTTTGCACCCAGTATTGCCACGATCAAGCCATGGAGCGATATCACCCTGCCGTCTGCGAAAAGGACGTTGATGCAATCGCCAAGGACCCTGACGCTTTCGAGGCTGACGAGACCCTGTATCTGCTGCTGTTGTCCCGTGTGCTGGCGATTGCAGCCCACGAGGAGGTTCACCCCCTGGACGTCCGCGAGGTCAAATACATCTGGGGTGACTTTGTGCCAACCAGAACCAACGATATCAACGTCTCGCCAAACGCGGGCCCTCCGCCTGAATGGACCCTCCCGTTTTCGTTCAAGTATAGCATCGAGACACCGCTCCATGTGCTCGAGAAGATGGACATTGATATCTACGCCGCCTTCGCCGAGTATGATCTCTGGGTGCTCAACACCCTGTATGCCAAGTTCCGCGGCACTGCTTCAGCCCGCAAGAACCCCCGGGACGGCCGCCCAGATGTGGCCGCCGTCCACCCTTATTGGTGCCTTGCGAATCATGACTGCGACCCCAACGTCACCTGGGAATGGGGCGGCCGCATGGTGCTCGAGGCCAGGCGAGAACGTGTGCTGGGTGGTCGACCAGGGGGCATCAAGCGTGGAGAAGAGATCTTGAACCACTACTGTGATGTAAACTTGCCCGTGCAGCAGCGTCGAGAGTGGGCACGAGGCAGCCTGGGCGGCTGGTGCATGTGTAAGCGGTGCCGGGATGAGGCTGCTGCAAGCGATTCGAAGCAAGAGGCTTGATATTTGATCAATGGTCTGCTTGCGAGGTGTATCTTTAGAACTTGGATGGCGTAGAGCCTTTTAGGGAATGGATGGATGGGTTTTAGACAAAAGTTATGGGACATTCATTGATTGCTCGGAGCGAAGATGAATACACACAGTACAGTATATATACATGTTAATGAGATTTCTTGAACCCGACCTCGGAATGCTTTCAGCCAGTCCCCAGGGAATGAACCATCGCCGTTACGGCTTCTATTCGAGACTATCACAAGTGATCCAGACGTGGCCAATTACTACTAAACTATGGTAAAACACCAGCATCATCAAGCTTGCCCCATGCATGTCACCAGCGCATTCCCCCTTTTCCCGATAATGAGGTCTTACCTTGACTGCTCGGGCAGCGGTCGCGGTCCTACGATCTGCCTCCGTCCAGCTCCGATGCCTAGTGACCCGTTGTTTTGACTATCGCCGCCAGTGTAGCCGGCCCATTGTCCAACATCCCATCGGCCGCCAATACCTCCGCCGATACCCTCTACACCGTCACTGGCGCGCACTGCTGCGGCCGTCTCCTTCTGTGCCTCCTCCCACTCGCGCTGTCGTTGGCGTTCCATCTCCATCTCACGTTCCAGGAGGGACTTGGACGCCCATCCGCCAGCCTTGGTCTTGGCCTGGCTCTGCACGCGGCGCTGATCCTCGGCATCGTGCTCAGCTGTGGCACCGAGTTCGCGCGAGTAGGTTGTCTGAGGAGCGGCAGGTGCCGGAGCAGGGTTGCTTGAGAGGAAGCGGTCGGTACGGCTCGGGGCGGCGGGAGCGGGCTTGGCAGCGTATGCCGTGGGGTCCGGGAGGGGACGGCCGCCGGTATTTTGTGGCTTGACCTTTGGTGCCGAAGTCGGGTCCGGGAGCGGACGAGGAGACCTCGGCGGCAGGATGGGAATGTCGACTTCTTGAATAGGTTCCCTCTTGTGCGGAGACCGAGTGCGCAGAACCTCTCGCTCATCTCTAGACCACGAGTCCGACCGTGTCGGCGGGCTGGAGAGGAGAGGCTTCTTCACCTTGGGCTTGGGGACGCCTCCCACGCGCTCCGCTCTCTCCTGGCGCTCCCGCTCGTACTCAGCCTCGCGTTGCCTGGCAAGCTCCAACTCCTGCTCCAGCTGCTTAACGCGGTTTCGGTATTCGTCTTCTGAATTGCCGTCTTGCTGCGACGCCGCCTGTTCCGCTCGGTACTGGCTGAGGAACTGACCCTTGAGTTTGGCATCGCTTCGGCTCCTTGCGGCCTTGCGCTCCTCGTTGAGTCGGGTTTCAGCCTCTTGTTCCTCCTGACGCCTCTTCTCCTCTGTCAGCTTCCACTGGCGTTCTTCCTCCTCCCATCGTCGCTTCTCCTCATCAACTGCTTGGCGCTCCCTCTCGCGCAGATTCTCCTCCTCCTGCTCCCATCGAAGCTCTTCCTGGATTCGCGCACGCTCTTCTTCTTCAGCCTGTCGCCGCTCCTCGTCCTCGGCCTCCAGGCGAAGACGCTCTTCCTCCTCCCTTCTACGGCGCTCCTTATCGGCGAGGCTTGGCACACGGGGACCAGCACTAGTGATCTGTCTCCGTCCGCCAAACGAGATGCCAAGGTTGCCCTGGCTGGCACCCCCTAGATAGCCATACTGGGCAATGTTCCAAGCCGGCGCGGTAGTGCCCTCATGCTCCTTCTTGCTCCAGCTGCTAGTTGGGCCGGGAGATCCGGGGCTCTTGGTAGGGCTTTTGGTAGGGCTCCACCGGCCGGAGCCCGAGTCGCCGGTCCGATGTGGCATGGCGGCAGAGCGGCCGAAGGCCGGTGACGGGTTGCTGGTGAAGGATTTGCCCCGATCGCGGGTTCCGGTGGGGGTCCTCGAGCCTGTCCCCTGGGGTGTCACAGCATCAGGTCGCGACTTGGGTCCGATGGCTGTGGGGAAGTTCTGGGGGCTCGCAGCGTGAGCGGCTCTGCTGAACGCCCCGATGCACTGAAGGACCTGGGCAGGGTCCTTTTGCTCGTACAGGTCGACGGTGAGGAAGGTATCGTGTTGGTGGAGGTTCAGGGGCGGGGACTGGCAGGCGCGGAGGAAGAGGGAGATGTTTTCCATCTGCACAAAAGGCATTGCCGATCGCTTGAACCTGAGGCCAGGAGGTGGGAGAGCGAGGTTGGCTAGTCTGTAAAGTCGTGTAAGTGCCGCATTCACGATGGCCAATGTGGCGAGGGGACGTACCTGCACAGAGCGACACCATCTTTGAGGCCTTCGAGAAGGTCTGAAGAAGGCAAGTTCTCGCCGAGGATATCTTCGATCCATGTACGGGCTTCGTTTGCTGCGGCAGGGGTATACTTTTCCAGGCGCATCTTGCGCAGGTCTTTGTCGAGGGACGTCACGGACGCCATGTTGAGATTGAGAGGTCGATAATGGACGTTGGATCGAGTGTTTGAGTATGTGACACTTTTATTCGGGTTCGAGAGAGGGCCACGCAATGCTGTGAGGCTGTAAATGTAGCGGCGCGCAAACGAGTCTTGTGGTTACGCAGCGTCTTTTGGATTGGATTGAGGGGGGCGAAAGATGGATGAGACGGGATGGGTATCGGGGGTATCGAATAGCAATAAACAAGCAAAGGCTGCCTGGTTCAGTCTGTCTATCAGAGAGTTGATGGAGGAGAGAGAAAAAGAGAGAAAGAAGGGATCATCCCGGAGATCCGAAGTGAAGTGCAGGTTGAAAGAAGGGTTGGTTCGTAGGTAAGTAAGTAAGTAGCGAAGGCAGCCAGATTGGGTGGGTTGGGTACAATTGATCCCCACGTACGCACGCCTGCGTCATTAGGTACTTGGGCTCATCGCGGGGTGGCTGGTGCGCATAAAAAGTGTGGCTGGTGGAGGGTTGCCATCATCATGCGCGGCTGCTTCTGCTTAGGTTAGGATGGTCGGTGATTTGACCATCCGGTTGTTTCATGCCCCTCCCCCCGAAATTCTCCCTCCTTCGAAACATATGCAAGCATCTTGACAGCCCAGCTCTGACAAGACCTTGCAATGACCCCCAACCAGATTGGCCCCGTTGCTAGGGCCTGGTATAGGTGGAAGGCCCTTCGTCTGCCATGGCGCAAACGCTTCCTCATGGGTAAGTTCCTTCATTCATGCCGTCCTCTTGGCTTTGACTTACACACCCCACCCGCAGGCTATGACCTCCAGGGCAACACATACTGGGAGTTTCGACTCACGCGAGGCCTCGAGGGCAACGAGCGATGGCGTCGCATTGTCAATTACCCGCGGTCGACACACTACTCTTCCGTAAAGGTCAGTCCGCAGTGGCACCAGTGGCTGCGGCACACCCGGCAGGACCCCCCGACACTCGACGAGCAAGAAGGCGACTTGGTGCGCCAGGTGAGGATGAAGAAGCTAGCTGCCGAGGCCGACGCCCGGTGGGAGGCCAAGCCCCGTGTCATGGAAGCCCCTGAGGATGCTCCCTCGCCGCTGCTGTCTTCGGCGCAGGCTGGTAGTCCGCCACAGCAGGACGTTGGACGGGAGCGGCAAGCACCCGCTGGCGCAAAGGAGGCTGAGGAAGAGGTTGAAAAGAGCGACGATCCATGGGCAAAGGCAAAGGCTAGAGGGCCTGGTGAGAGCTGGCAACCCACAGCCTGGAACCCTACGGCGCCAAGGAAACGATGAGATGTCAACCTCAAAGATTGCCACGTCGTTTGTAACAACAATGTACAAAAGCCATCCATTCCAATTTGGACCCAAAGCGATATTCAGGGGATATCATCATTCATTACAACATAATGTCTATCTATGTACAGGGGTAGTCTAAGTTTGTACAATATCAAGTCACCAACAAGTGTCACCATCAAAATACCCAACCAACCCATCATGACCACTAACCAGCCCGAATTCATTACTCCGCTTCCTGAATAGCCTTTAACGCCTCGAGAAGAATCCTGAGCCTTGTTCCAGAGTTCGTCAGGACGTCCTGTGCCATGGCATCGCCCGCATCCCCCTTCATCTTGCCAGTCCGTCGCTTCTTTGCCTTGGTCTCTCTAGCCTTGATGCCCTTCTCAACAGCTGCTTCAAATTCTTCTGAATACACCATCATGTCAAACGACCATAGAAGCTGGATGGCACTCTCGACAACCAGTGACAGCTTGGCATTGTCCTCCAGCGCCACAGTATTTGCAGGGTGCAAGACATAACAGTATTCTAACATGGGCATGGTCAAACTCCCCTGGGCGTCGCCTTCAGGATCAATCCTGGAAGGGTTCTTGTATGATGAAGGTAATAGTAGGTCAAAAAGTTCCTTGTTGATCGTGACAAGTGCTTCGGGTAATAAGATGTTGGGTCGTTGTGAAAGGAAAAGAGAGAATGTCGGTAGGGGTAGGAGTTTGAGGGCTGCCGTGTACTCCTCATAAAGACGATTGAGCTCTGATCGTTTTCCTCGTGACCATGTCACGGCCGACAAGAGCTTGAAAATGCGCAGTCGTATGCTTATTGATTCCACCATGCCAGGAGGATAAATTCCGGCATTCCCGAGTTTGCGTGTGTCCTTGGGTTTTTGAGGCGTGGGAGGTTCTGAGACACCAGACGACATGGATTCATCCTCGAAATAGTCGCCAAACTTGTCGTTTTCTAGATCGAGCACTTGTTCTCGTTTTCGCTTCTTTGATTGTTTTCGTGGGCCCCGGGGTTCCTTGTCAAAGATCTCGCGGTAGGCCGAAGATGATAGCTCGCCTCCATCAGCGAATAGAGCTTTGACGAACCCTTTGGCGCCGCTTTGTCGTCCATTCTGCTGATTCATGTACATGGCCATGATGGATTCCTCCCGTGATGTCAGGATCGGTTCGCTGTCGGGGCCGTTGGCCTGCTGTGCCGCCTTGTCGCGACGTTCGCGCTCGTTCCAGTCGGCCTCGAGTACGTCCATTATAAATTCCAACCAAACTTTCCAGTAGCGCCATCGGTTGGGGTACATTGTGCTGCAGTTAAAGGCCCAGCCGACAGTAGACCAGAAGTCCTGGCCGCGGTTCCATACACTGCCGTCGTTGGCGATCTTGCCCCGGAGGCGCTCATCGTCGCCGCTCAACTCGGCGTCGGAAACATCACTATCGTTTGCTGACGCAAGTTGTTCGCGTCTGCGACCTGATCGGGGTACTGAGTAGAACTGAAAGGCGGTTCTAAAGTCGGCATTGACGGGGCCAACAATGGCGAGAATGTTGCGCAAATAGTCGAGCGCTTGGGAGCATACGTCGAGATGTTCCTTTTTCTCGGCGCGAGTGGTGTGAAGAGGGTGAATGACGAGTGTGCTCAACAAGGCGAGATGGCTTGGGGGAGGAACCGGGACACCCTTTCTGTTGGTGGAAGTGCGCTTGGATGCGCCGGCGCCGGCGATGCTGTTGAGGAGATTGATGGCCGAGGCATCTCCAGGCGAGTCAGCAGAACGACCAACACATAAACAAGGACAAGACCATACATAGCTGCTCTTCAAGAAAAATATGGCAGTGATTCTTCAGCTCGCGGGGTAGCTGGCGCGCATCGCGATAGGGACAAGGATTCTCCTGTACGGGGCTGCTGGCGGCGGTAGACTTGTCGACTATGGAGTCGTGCGCGGTAACAAAGGATGCCGGCGAGGACAGACAGGAAGAGGGCGACGCCGATGCCATGTCGCGCTCGGAGTGGAAGACATTCAGGAGAGTTGAAGCTGACGTAGGTTGGGCTGTTGAGTGAAGAGGCAAAAGACAAGGGAACGTATCGCTTTACGCGGGTTGGGAAGCTGGGGAATCGCGAGAAGCGCGCGCTACGAGGCGCAATCAAAGGGAACCTTGAAAGGCAGGAGGGGTTGTACGGCTGTACCTGAGCTCCAAGCCACACTCGAAACTTTGTCACTTTCGCACTGGGCCTAGCAAATAAGGCGCTGAGGAACGGACCACTGACGCCATTCAATGGAACGCAATGCAAGCTGTACCCCACGCAGAAATGGCGAAAGAACCATGACACACAAACGCACCCAAAAAAAAATAATTGTAGAAATCGGCAAAAATTAATGATGAGAGTGGGATTCGAACCCACGCCTATTTCTAGACTGCGAATCGTTGCTAGTTCTTGTGGAACCTGAACACAGCGCCTTAGACCGCTCGGCCATCTCACCTTGTTTGTTGAAGATATGATTTCCATACTGGGCCCTTAGGGAAAGAGCGACGGTGCCTTTCGTCCCGTCCTCCATCACAGCACCCTTTCAACATCAGGTCAAGGTCACCAGTCATAATCACTTTCACTTTTAAGCTATGGAAGGATTGATATCTGGCACAGAGTGTTTTCAGGAAAATAGAGTTACTGTGAGAATGAATTTGGAAATAGGTAACTAGGTACGCCTATTTGTTTGGGTGAATACTATGCTCAGGTACCTATTCAAGGTAGCCTATCAAGATAGATAGAATATGATTATGATTCCTATCCCACATTTGGAGCATCTCTTCTCTCCGTGGAGTCAAAGAATGTGTGTTGACTCGTCTATTCACTCGGCCGATGGTCTCCCTCGGTAGCCAGTGCCCAGCAAACTTGGGACATGCGACAGAAATGCGTCCATTCGCCAGCACCATGGAGGCTATGTCGCAACCCTTCTAAATGTCTGGTAGCTAGATGAAAGAGCTCGTCAGCTCCCATCGCCAGGGCCAGGTGGTACATGATTTCTCCATGCTTCGACCCAGGCGAATGTGATATATATAACCCGAATGAAGACGTTAGACCTGATGTCTTCAGGCTCATGAGAGGGAAACCCCTAGTCCGAGCCAGCCTTTGCAATGTGACAAGGCGAGAAAGATCAGGGAAGGCTATCTATATTATCCAGTGTGTGGACCTGCCTGTTTCAAGTGGATGATGCTGGCTCGCTCTTCGATGCTTACGACGAAGCGAGAAGCCGGTGTTTGCGCAAGGTCCAGGGGAATTCATTGAGGTTGAACCCAGCTACAACCAACCGATTGCTGTGGATGTTTTTGTCGAAGGGGCAAGAGTCTTTAACACGCCGTCTGGCCTGTGAAGTTGAAGATGCACAAAAGGGTGGGCTTTGACGATCTCCAGAATAAGCTCCTGATACTCGCGAGCAATCTGTTCGAGAGTATAAACTCGTCCGATGATGGGTTGCTGACCCATGTGGCACCGCTCTGCCGCTTCGCAAGAGATGTTGACGACTATATATATAGAGAGTCTGTGTTGTCAAGTCAGCCAGAGATCGCCTCATCGGTCGTGTTAACCAACTTACTTCGATAGTTTCCTTGGGTACATTGACTTCTGTGAGAAACCCCCAAGAACCATATGCTGTGTTTGGCGCCAGATGTTTAAAGTTCTCGGTTTACACCATTCGACAGCTATATAGTTCAGACTGCAGGACCCATGTAGGAGAAGTTCCAAGGTGCTGGCCCGTTGTTGGAAAGCCTGTGTCGCCTTCACCGTTCTCTGCCCCTAGACTTTACCCCCGCTACTATATGCTGGTCGTGGGGGGCGGGGGCGAGCTCTATCTCGATGACGAGACGAGAAAAGCACGACAACTACTGCGCAGCTAGGGAGATCAGCTGAAAGCCGCTCAAGGAAGAGTCAGGGTATTGTTCTTACCTCGCAAAGCGTACCTATACTCGGCATCTGGACTCCGGCCAGGTTCCCGCTGTGGCGTTTTTTAACAGTAGGTGTGAATGTATCCTTCGGGGACAATATATATAGGAAGATTAGTGATAAACTGACGAAAGACGACCCAGGGCTTGCGAAGGGATTATATAGGACGATGGGAATGAGTTTGCTCTGAATGTGCTTGTCTGTGAGTATCCCCTGTTTTCACATATCTCCTGCAATAAGCTTGAAAATCTTTCTCCCACCTCGCTCGATTTTGGAAACAACGATCCCCTCAAAGAGCCTCTCAGACGCCAAAGAAATCTTTCGGGTACCATGCCCATATATCCAATGCTGTTTTTACGGGTAAACATGCAAAAGGCATTGTGGAACATGCCCCTGGAAACAAGCACAACGACTAGTTCTATGAAAGCAATGAAACCCCAATTTGGCAAACACCGCCAGATTGAACAAATACCACTCAGCACTTGTGTCGCCGCTAGAGATGTGCAAGAAGATACTGAAGGCCGCTTTGTCTCAACGGTTTGGCAAAGCTGTCTTGGATGAGAAACACGTAAAACTCGCCAGATTGCTGACAATTGTGACTTCTTGAGCTTTATCACCGGCCGTGGGGCATTTTTCTCACAGTAACATAATGTTGACAACATCGCAGTTTCCATGTTGCTCGACACGGGCAAAGCCGTCAGTGTATAACAGATTCAGACTTGATACGATAGTATCTCTCATGTAAGCTGGAGGGATCACAGATCATCACAACAAACACACAACAAGTAGGAGTCTAATAGTTCATTCATATTCGTTGGTATCATACTTTTGCAGACGCATCTAATACTCTATCACCCAAAACCCATCATTAAACGAATGGTCCATCATTAAAAACACCAAAAAGCAACGCCACATTTTCTCCCATCTAAACATCCGACTCAGGACCAGACTTGTCCTTTTCTCCCTCCTGAGTACCTTGATCAAGCTCATGCTCCGTCTCAAACTTTCGATCCAGGCTCTTGGCTTTTACACAGAGCACCGACACCACGAGGGCCACGCAGGCTAGGAGGGTCAGGACCAGCCAGACGGTTCGCAGGCCCTTGATGTATCCGTCGACGATGGTCTCCTTCATCAGATTAATACTGTCGGGGGCCTTCTTGATAATCTGCACCAGGGCCGAGGCGTCCTTAGCCCACTCGGCAGCCTTGGGCGCAAATTGCTCGCTCTTCTCGATCTGCTTCTGGAACTCGTTCTGGAAAGTCACGCCGCCGACCGCAACACCAATGCCCTGACCGAGAGATCGGCAGAAAGCGTAGAAGCTCGCAGCAAAGGGTAGATCTGCATTAGAGGCACCAGCCTGAGCCGCAAAAGCTTGAGCAGAGTAAAGAATGCCCAGGCCAAGACCTCCAGCAAGGTAGATGAGCACCCACTTCCAAGTCTCAGTGTCCTTTTCAAGAAGCATCATCAAGCCCATTCCCAGAGGCACGAGGGCCCATCCCAGCCAGATAAACGGTCGGTAGGCACCTGTCTTGGCGATCAAAAGTCCAACGACGACAGCAGCGGGAGCAACAGTGCCTGTAAAGGGCAAAACTGCAACACCGGCGTCGACGGGCGAAGACCCTCTGACCTCGTGGTATAGAGGGACATAATACAGCAGGCACCAGACGAGGATTCCGTGGATGACGGTGGCAAAGTAAGCCGAGAGTGACGTGAGGGATGTGAAGAGGCTCGGTCGGAGGAGGGGATCGCATGTCGAGTACTTGGTCGAGAACTTGATGTGGCAGCCAAACGCAATAAGGCCAAGGATCCCGACGACGAGAGGGACGACAGTTCGGGGATTGCTCCATTCATACATGATGCCACCTAGGATACTCAGTCAGTAGCAATCACATAATAGAGGCCAAGATTACTTACCCCAACTCAGGGGAATAAGGAAGCTCGTCAACGCTCCAACAAAGATGACAGTTCCGATCCAGTCAAACTCCTTCAACTTTGTGTTGACAGTTGCATCCTCCTTTCTCTTGATCTTCATCGTTATAGGAATGGCAACATAAGCGACAGCACAGAAAGGCAGGTTCAACCAGAACAACCAAGGCCACGAAACTTCGACGAGGGCACCGCCGACTACAGGACCCAGGATGCTGCCGATGGCCCAATTGAGGGAGATGAGACCGAACCACTTGCCTCGCTCGCGGAGGCTGACAAGATCCGTTGCAATGACGTATGTGAGAGCCAGGATACCACCAGAGCCTAGGCCCTGAAGCGTACGGCCACCAAGGAGGACGGCGATGTTCTTGGCGAGGGCGGCCATGACGCTACCGCCTGCAAAGACGGTTAGGGAGCCAAGAAGAGCTGGTCGACGGCCGAAGATGTGGGATAGGGAGGCAACGGGGGGTTGGATGACTGTCGAGGCGAGGAGGAAACTGGTACCGCACCAAAAGGCCTCAATAGCTGAGGCTCCAATGTCTTCTGCGATGGTCTATCAAGGTCAGTAAGTCACTGATATCACTCGTCCAGACTCGAAGCTTACCGGCAACGCAACGCAGATAATGGTCGAGTCAAGGGCAATAATGAAAGTAACAAGACACAAAGTACCGAATGCACCATAGAAACGCCATCCCCTAGATGTTGTAGGCATGTTGACGTTTTCGACCTCCTTGAGCTGGACAGAAGGGGCATTGGATGAGGATGCAGGATCCCAGATGACTCCTTGGCTGGAAGACTGCGAGCTCTGAGGTGTATGTCCCGGGACGTTGAGCGGGCTAACGGCAGGCAGAGAGTCCAGCCTAGGAGCCTCGGGCCGCTGAGGTTTCTCGGTTTCGTTACTCATGATCTTTTGATACACAAATGAAGTTTGTGTTGGTGACACGGGATGGAAAAGACAAGCGACGAGAAGACTGCTCTGGGTATCCTCAACCGAAGAGAACAGCAGAAACGCCCATTCTTTAAGAATAGCCTCAGAGAATGAGGAAGCCCATAGACGAGGAAGCCAACGCACGTAGATGGCCTCGCTCAGCCAGCCTCTGAGCGGCCCATGGCCCCCAAATTAGATCTGCAAGATAAAACCAGCAGGTCCTAGACCATATCTCGAACCTTGTAGTCGAGATGAGCCTAGCCAGAGTAAAACGGATATGCAGAGTACAGCCCTGCCTCGATTGAAGGGGCGTCAACAGATCCACAGCCAAGAACAAAAACCTCCGCTTTCTCACTTCTCCAGCTTCCCATTGTCCCAGAAACTAGCGATTTCCAAGCGCTATGCTAAGGATGCGGTCCCGAACGGGGCGCTTGAGCCTCAGCGGCCGCCCACCAAGGAGGGTTGCTAGGAACCAAGTTGTTGGGATCTGTGACGCGGGTGAGACTACGTGGACGGCGTAAAGTAGGCTTGGTGATGTTCAAAAACATGACATCAAATGGTAAGCAATGGGCCCATAGATGATCAACATGATCTACCCTTTGGTCAAGATACCTGATAAAGCCAGTCAGTGAAGGGGAAATCTCGCCATCATTGATCAACGGTCAAGGAAGTCAGCCCTACAGCGTCAGACCCCTGCTGTTCCCTCCCGTAATCTCAGCCACTGGGTTTCTGCATCTCGGCGAGGCCGATCCCCGTTTTGTCTTTCGCTGGTTGGTTTGAATACCGATCTCCGCCAGCCACAAGCGATGAGGTGGATTGGATTGTTGATGTCGAGGTCAAGCCAAGGCTTGTTGCCAAGAGTTTGGAAGCATTCCGCACGTGTATCAGCTGGACTAAACCTTTGATCCATGTTTCACCATCTCTTCCTAACCCTTTTGCAACTCTCGTCAGCAACTCATTTCCCTCAAAACAATCAACAAATCTCGTACCCCGTAATGGTTACGCAAGCTGAGCGGTTCCGTCGGCATACCAAAGTGCGGAATTGCTGCACCTCGCTGTTGGTTGTTGTCTTGCTGGATCACTAGCTGGTCAGACTATCTGCCGGGCTACGTAGAGATAGCGCCACTAGAGCCTAGTTAGCACCAACAGGGCCATCCCGGCGGTTTGGGCATCGCCTCCATCTCGGTCGATCTCGAGGCCTGGGCTGAACGGGTACAGTAGAATGTTTCGATTGTTTGGTTGGTCTATATCTCTCTGACTATCTGCTCCTCAGCTTGCGCCATGCAAATGCTTCCAATCCCAGCACGGGGGTCAAAGCCTCTATCCCTATCTATCCCAGTCTATGAAGCTATCCACGGATCTTTTTCCCAAACCGTAAACGCCATCCCATGTGGCCCCATAATCGCTCCCGCAGAGTGGCGCGCTGAGGCTGACAAGATCCACCCGGATTCCGGGTCCGAATAAAGAAACACGCACAAAAAGAGAAAAAGTCAAGGGAATATTAGCGAGCGTGGCGCTCAGGTATGAAATGGTAGTCGTGTCTCGTTTCTGAAAGAGGAGGGAGGCTTGTGCTGAAGAAAAAAGGTTATATCAAAATATTGTTACCGCTGTTGGTTATCATCAACTTAGTGAGTCGCGTTGGTGTGAACTCTTGACATGCTTCGGCGGAGAGCATTGCTCGCCCGGCGTTCCTTTTCGGCCTCTTCAGCTTCAGCCACGGCTTGGTCTTCCGTGATCTCCTCGTGCTTGTTGCGCATCCGCTGGAGGACGCTGGCCGCCTCAGCAGCAAACTCGCACTTCATCCGGATGGTCTCGCCGTACTTGTAGAACAGAAACGGGAACGGGATACACGCGATGGCCAGGAAGGCCGGCACCGAGCTGGCCCAGTGGATACCGAGGTCGTCGTACATGTACTTGGTGAAGAGCGGGAATGCGGCACCAAAGATTGATCGGAGAACCGAGTTTGCGGCCAACACCGATGCGGCAAAGATAACGTCTAGACCAGGTTAGCCCGCTGCAGAGTAGAGACAAGTTGGGAGCTGAAACTTACAAGAGTCAATGAGATAGTTCATTAGCGAGAGGAACACCACCACAAGGCCAGCAGAGAAGACAGCTGAGCCCATGATGCAAACGATCCAATGCACGTCGCTTCCGTTGGACCAGGCAAACCAAAACAGACCGACAGGAATCAGGATAGAACCGACAAGCGTAGGGGGAAGTCGGGCCTCGGGGGGCGCATGGCCGCCATTAGCAGCAGCCACACGCATGTATCGCTTCTGGTCCATGATGGAACCAGTGACGGCAAACAGCATGCCCACTGCGATACCAATAAAGGCGAGGCCTCCCTTACCAGGGCTCCATCCACGACCCTGTTGGAAAACAATAGGGAAAGCAGCAAAGCAGAGGTACAGAGTGCCGTAGATGATGGCCATGTAAATCGAGGTGAGCAAGACGATGGGCTCCTTGAAGAGCAGGATCCAGGGTCGCAAAAGAGCCACCTTGAACTGCGTAGCGACGCTCGTGTGAGGGCGGCCAGCATCCATCTTGGCAATGTAGACCTTGCCAGTCGCCTTTGAGAGGGCGGCAGCGCGGCGTCGGAGTTGATAAGGGGCGTAGGTCTCGGGGATGAGAAGCGAGTTGACAATCCAGACGATACCGGTAAAGATGGCCATCATGCCTTCAATCCAGCGCCAGCCTTCGTGCTCGCCAAGGAAACCACCAGCAATAGGACCTAAAGTGCCATGTTAGTTTGCGTAGTTCATTCCGCATCGGAACTTGACGTACCAATAGTAGGACCAAGGAAAGGTGCCCTATTCACATCCGTTAGTTTACTTCTACAAGATTGCAAGGAGTCTACTCACATGGCAAACAGCGCCGAGGCAATACCACGCTGCTTGGCATCAAACATATCGGCAATAACACCACCAGCGTTAGTAAGAGGCGAGGAGCCGAAAGAACCGGCAAAGAATCGAAGAACGATCAAAGCAGCCATGGTGGGTGCACCAGCAGCACCCGCGTTAAACGCCGTCAAAGCCATATAAGAGATGAAGAAAGGAATCTGCCGGCCGTAAAGCTCAGACAGAGGTGCCCAGAAAAGGGGACCGATAGCGAAGCCCAGGACGAACATGGAGATGCCGAGAATGACAACCTCGGTCGATACATGAAAGTCCATCAGGATATCAGTGAGACCGCCTGAGTAGGCGGTACTGACAAAGGCGACAGCGAGCGTCGCGATGGCCTGTAGGATAGTGATGGCCCACTTCTTGGTCTGGGAAAAGTTCATGGCGTTTCGAGGGTCGTTGGGGAGAAAGTCGACGAGATAGGGGGACTCGGTCGTACCCTCACCGGCGTACTTGTGGTTGAGGACGGCATCGTCGAGGCCGACTTGGTCAAAGATGAGGTTAAAGTGTGAGGCCTTGGTCTGAACTGTTTGGTTCTCGACGTCGACTTCGTTGGCCGTCACCGAGGACGACGACGATCCCGGCCTGGACTCGGGTTGTGTAATTGCAGTCATGGCGATAGGACACAGTGGGAGGTGATACTAGGCACTGCAGTCGTTCGAGATGGGATCCGGATCGGCGGTCCTTGGTTGGGATGAACTAGCCAGGGTATCAGGCTCAGTTGCACATATGGATTGCGTCCAAGTATCTCATCCGTCTCCGAGACCCAGCACGGCGGGAGGCAGATATATATGCCATGGGGATCTCGCCCGTTGGGTCCCAGATGCATTGTTAATCAAGATCCACTAGATGCTACCAGAACGCCCAACAATCTGGGTTGACGGGGGGGTCTCTAGACCAACAAAGATGCGAATAGATCTCGGGCCCTCCTGGTCGCCGACTTTTGAGCGAGGCTCTGACGTTTCTGTCGTCCGTTTGTGGGCACTGCGGTCGGAGTTGATGACTATTTAGGCAAAACAGAGATGGGTGCATGCAAGATCGGGGGCCCGGCGCCTGGCATGTCTCTCAATCCCGGCTTGCGACATCGTTTACAGGTTGTTGCCTCATCTCGCGTCTTTTCTGTCCCGTCCCAGGAGCCCCGGCGAGCCTCGGAAACATGCCGTCCCTGTCGGAGGTTCCCAGTCGATAGAAGGTAAAGGACCAACTAGAAGCCTGCAAAGAAGAGGACCCCCGCCCGGTCAGAAAGTCCGACGGCGATTATGGTGCTTCTCCCTCGTGGGCTCAGCCGCGTGGAGTTTGACCCATCTCATCTCATCTCAGCTCGCCGACGGGATTAAAGTGGACGTTCTTGACGGCGAACCCGCTGGCTTAGGGGCAACGCCACGACGCCAAGTTCCGAATGCCGACTCGAGTCTCGTCCGTGATTCGGATCCGAAGCGGCTTTTACTGTAATGCTCCAGTAGGAATGATCCGCGCCCACGTTGTCCCACGCGCTAGAGACCAAACTTTGTCGATAACCTTGTCTTTTTGAGCCTCGATCCCGCTCGCTTCAATTCTCTGACTGATAAGAAAAAAAAGTTGCCTCGGCTCATTTCGTTTTCGCTATCGTTCAGGGCACGGAGCCGCCGGCCGGCCGATATCATTACCCCCCGTCTCCCTGCTTGACCCCCGTTCCCTCGTGGAGGATTTGTCCTAGCGGCTGTCTCAGAAAGATAGAAAGAATAGAATGTTGGACCCGTGACGGATTTCGGGCGTCAAGACTGGCCGACCGCCGATCATTGCCTTGGAATTGTCCTCCTTTATCGCGGATTTCGAACATCAGGCGACATGACTCTGCCTTAGAAATCCACCCACACACACCGTTGTTGATTCAGCCCTAGCTTTGAGCCGCATTACAGCCGTTCGTAACATCACGTCCCTTCACAGTCCATTATTTTAGGAAGCTCCGATGCATATTATCCTTGCCACTGGCCGTCACAGCGGATCAGTCGCCAAAGCCTTGCCATTCTTCCTCTTCCATGTTCTCCACGTTATCTTGATGACTCGAACCTGGTGCCAAGTGTGAGGAGCCTTCTGAAACGTCGTCATCGTCGCTATCGTCTTCACTTTCTTCATCTTCGCTTTCCTTCTCTTCCTCCTCTTCCTCCTCCTTCTTCTCGTCCTCGTCTCTTGCAGTCAACGAGACAGGTTCGCCAGTCGACTTCAAGACGGGCATGCCAAGAACATCTCGAATAATGGCACCGTTCTCGTCCCGCATGTAGGGGCCGTCGTCATCTGCAGCTTCGGCGTCCTCTTGGGCACCAACTCTTACAAATGCAGCCACAAAGAAACCCATGACACCCTGCCCGTCGTCCTTGTAGGAGCGGATGCAGGCCTCCGCCACGTCTGTCTGGTCCCCACATGCCGAGGGTAGGCCCCGGACGGGCCACTCTCGCATACCGGAGACCTGGTCGGTCCGTCGTAAGATGCGCCAGTTCCTCTCCTTGGCAATCTTAGATTCGAGAGCCCTCGTGACGACACGTTCGTTCTCTTGCATATGGACGGAACACGTCGAGTATGTAATCTTCCTCGCCGAAGGGAATCGAAACGCGTGCTGAAGAAGGGTCAGCTGGAACCCTGATAGAGCATCCAGCCGTGCCTCCAAATCCTTTTCCGACGCCAGAACGGTCTCGTTCCCGTCGTCGTCGATGATGACCTTCTCAGGTTGTTCAACCTGGTCATGCTTCCTCTTGCGATTGTTTGACTTGGCAGCCGCCCCTTTCCCCGTGTTTGCAGGGCTGTCTGGTAGATGGAGTTCCGGCATTGAATCTCGTCCGACAATGCCACTCCCTGAGCAACTCGGATCCAGGAGCAGAGCCCCGACCGACTTGTATTTGTCAGACTCGGGGTTCACCTGCAAAAAGTCCTGTCCAAATCCGATCTGTGTCATGGGCCTGGAGCCCGCAGTCTTGACCATCTTCTCGAGCGTCTGTGCCCGCCTGGGGTCTTTTTCGAAAGCATAAATCGTCTGCTCCGGTGCATCAAACTCGGGTCGGTGTTCCTTGAGAATAGCCGCCAGGTGCGTAGTCTTATTTCCAGGCGCCGAGCACGCATCAATCAGATCCCCGTCTTCTGACTGGGGGTCCAACAGATAAGCCGGGAAGCACGATGCCTTGTCTTGCAGGATAATCTTGCCTGATGCATAGGCTTCCGTCTTGGTCAGGTCGATTCCAGGGGTGATGGCCAGGAGATTCGGCACGTGCGGGTCGATGTAGAGGAATTTTCCCGACTTTGTGACAACTTCCTGGATCGAGCTGGCTCTCGCGTAGGTCGAAAAGGTCGTCTCCAGCTGGTCTTCCAGGGTACTCTTCACCGCGTTGACGCGAACCCACCTCGGGTAGTTCGCTTCCTCGCCAGCTGACTGCCTCTCGATCTGCTCCTTCAGGGCCTCGAGCGTCGGCATCTTCCTTCGGAGCCGAGCAAGCTTGAATTCTGAATTAAGCCTCGCCTTGTGCCGTTCAATGGATGCACGAAGCCCATGACTTTGCGGGAGGGCGATCCCCCTCTTGGCCAATAAGAGGTCATGTACGAGAAGTAATGACAGAATAGGGGTGAGCTGTTCCAAAGATTAGCCAAAATTCCGTCTTGGTATGAATCGACGTGTTCATATCTTACCTTGCGCTCAAGCTTGAGAAGCTCAGACTTCTCAATCACCTCCTTCAGCACTGGACTCCATTTGCAGCTCTCGAGGATGATCGCGTAAACCTGATTGGGTGAAGATTTCAGATTCTTCTTCTTGAAGACTCGGGACTTGAGACTTCCTCCCTGTGAAGATGATCCCGATAGAACCTCTGCCGCCTCATGGTAGAGAGACATTTTTGAGGCGATGCAGAGATGGTTGAAGTTGCTGATGAGGACTGCTGAAGAAAAATGAAGCTGAGCTTTGAGAAAGGCGGTTGGGTAATTAGAGATTTGCCGAGATTTACCCGCTGACCTCAAGCCCGTGTAAGTGCCGTGATACCTACCCTACGACTCAAACATGACCGTTCAAGGACACACACAGACTGGGTTTAGAATGTGCTTGACGTTGTTCAATGGATATAAAGACTGATTACACAGGTAAGGAAGGTATCTCAGTGACATGGTCACACTCCGCTTCAACTTGCTCGAAACATAATCAACTGGGAGCACACAACACTTGCCGGCAAACATCAGACACCACAGCTGTTACATCACGTAGTTTCACCATCAACAACTTCTGGTCATCATCATGTTCGGGCGCCCTGGATTCATATCGGGCTAAGGGTACGTACGCACGCGTGCGGCCCTTGAGAAGCGAAACTATGTCCTTCAAAATGTACATGTCAAGAAGCGAACCATCCAACTCTCTCTTTCTTTTCCCAGATCCACGATGCGTGTTTGATCAAGATTTCTCTCTCTAGAGATCGCCGATCTTATATCAGTCTAGCCCATGTTCGCCAGACCCCATATGCAAAGATGCTCCGCAGATGCACCCTTTCTTTATTTGAAATGTCATGAAAAGCAACAACACAAGAACTGTTCAGGCCACCCTAACAGGTGAAAGCCCATAAAAGAATCAACTTAGTGACGGTGGCTGCGGCGGCCGAGATGGTTGCGGCCACTGCCGTGGTTGTGGGCATGTCGTCGCATGTGATCCCTCTTGTAGACAGGCGCCGTCTGCTCGGAGGCGCTGGAAGTCTGGGTGACGGTGACGGTGTTCCAGACGGTGTGAATCTTGGGCCTGCACTTCTTGCCCTTTCCAGGCTTTCCAAACACGTTGGTGGGCTTGGGGGCGTCGGTAGGGGCGGTAGGAGCAGTAGGAGCTTCAGACTCAACGACAGCCTGAGAAGTAGGGACAGTCTCGGGAACCTCGGTCGGCTGCTGAGGAGCGTAAGTGGACTCCTCTTCGGCGGCGGCAACGGTGGCGGACGACTCGGCACCAGTAGCGCTGGGAACCTCGGGAGCGGTCGTCTTGTCATCGGAAGCAGACTTGGTAGCAGAAGCAACAGGGGCCTTGGAAGAGCCGTTATCATCATCACTGGTTGAGGGGGATCCCTGGCTGCCGCTGTCACCGTACGCCCATCCACTAAGAGGGTTGTTTCCGGGCAGCTTGCTCAGGGTACCGTCAACCTCCTCGTCAACCTCGGACTCGATGGTGCAGTCGCCCTTGTTCAGGCCGTAGGTGAGGCCAGGGCAGTTGTCCATACCGCCAGTACCAGTGTCGCAAGTATCAATGATGTGCTGCAGGAGGTCCTCGTCCCAGCCAGCCATGAAATCCGCGTGGTTGCTGTAGCCAGTGACATCACCGTTGGAAAAGACAAAAGGCTGCTCGCCCTTGCCCTCCTCCCAGCGGCCGGCGAACTTCTCGGTGTGCCAGTAAGCCTCATAGAAGAGGTGAGGCACGTGAATCCAGCCCTTGGGGCAGTCCAGATATCCGTCGTTGTCCTCGGGGTAAGCCATGTTGTTCTTGAAGTCGGTGAGGCCGGCATCGGGGTTGTAGCAGGACGGGAAGTGAACGTCAGCCCGCAGAGGCGAGTACTTGCCATCGCAAGTCCTGTCAGGGAAACCCACACCCTCACCCAGGTTGTTGGGGTCACCGACACCAGCCGTGGTGCCATCGGAGTTGGGGTCCCAAGAGGGAGGCACGAAAATGTTGTCAAGGCGAGGGCAGGTGATTCTGGCGGCGTTGACAGGTCCCTTGGAAGGGTCGAGGTTGGCCTTGGCGCCGGTCTTGGGCATAGTGCGGGTCATACTATTACCCGCAACTATCTGAAGACCAACAGGGAAAGGCTTGATGTCGTCATGAGTCTTTTCGAAGCTGAGACTGCTGTTAGAGCTTGCACTGTATAGTCGAGGAGCGTGCTGAGAGGCTCTGGTTGGTCAGGGTAGGATTCTTACAAGTAGTAGGCGTTGAAGTAGTCAAACTCAACCGACTCGAACTCTTCAGTCTTGGGGTCGCGGAAGTAGAGCGAGGGGAACCAGTAGTTACTGTTGTCACCCTTGACTAGAGCGTTACTACACTTGGAACCAGCAAGGTCCTTTCCGGTTGAGCTCTTGCCGAAGGCGCTGCCACCCATGATGGTGTGGACGTGGGTGGAAGTCTGACCGGGGAACAGGATGGGATCCATGCGACCCTTGGTGAGTTGCTTGTTGGTGAAGCGCAAGACGGCAAAGGTGCCATCCTCGTGAGCGGCAGAGGCGACACCAGCCAGGGCGGCGACGGTGGCGAGAGTGTACTTCATGATGACTTGGTGGTTGATGAATCTCGTATCTCGGAGAGTTTTGTGTGTTTCAAACGGCGGGCCCTGGCGAGACCTTGATCGGGATCCAGGCAGAAAAGAGTGTAAAAAGTGTTGATCTTGGAGTCAGTGTCTCTGGGACTCTGGACACCAATAATGAAACCTGCTGCGAACCTCGCGGGGGAGAAGAAGCAGGGAGCAGAAGTTGAAGACGGGCAAAAAAGGCGGGGGAGAGGAAACAGCGCAGGTGATACCGGAACACCTGTGGGATTGGAAGAATGAATGTGTCGCAACCAAAGGGCCGGCCACTGAATCAGAGAGCGGACGGTGAGAAGAAGGTTGACGGGGAGCCGAAAAGAGGGGAACAAACAGGATATCGCGGGGAGAGCCTGTTTTAGGAAACGAATGAAGAAGAATAGAGAGCGGACGTGCCCAGCAGCTGCTTTTGCGGTGTACGAAGGTGAAGAGAGGGAAAAGGAAGAAAAAAGAAGAATGAGCGTGTGGAAGGATAAAGAGGAGAAGTAGGTTGGACGAAGGAGGGTGAAGTGAGGGTCTTGTGTGAACGGGGGGGAGAACCTTGGCAAATCCACCATGGAGTAAGGTAACTCAAGGTAAGCAGACCGTTTGGAGAGGGGACAAAGACCCTGCTAGGCGTTTGAGTGCGTGCTACGGCATAAGGCTGCTGAGTTCAGACCGGGCCCTGACCAGCAGCTGGCGACCGGTTTGCGAGTATCTCCTGTTGGGTTTTTGCCTCGATTATCGAAGCGAGCGATGGATGAGATGGAGTTGCATGGGCCTAGCCCAAGGGTAGGGTCCATCACTAGGCCGCCACCAATTCAGGGGTCGCAAGAGCCGCCACGGCCTCATCCTAGTGTAGCAAGATAATGAAAGAGGATTGGCTAGATGCCCTCACGCCACATCCGACTTCTTATGCGCAGTGCCGGGTGCAGCGTGCCAGCTGACCAGGCTGTCAAAAAGGGCCCTCTGCTCTTGAATGGGGTCACCATGGCGAGGACCAGTGAAACGAACCAAGGTCGGCCGCTTCTTGGCATCCATCCCGATCCTTCAATTGCTGTACCTGCATCTGAGCTGAGCTAACAAACCCCTCCTCCCCGGGGACCGTTGGCGCCGCCCCGACGATGGATGGCCTAACAAGGGGGACCTTGAGGCCACCAAAGCCAAGGCCTACAAGCGTCTATGCATTTGCGGTGACGGGTGGGTGATCGTGGAAGCACACATGGCGGTGATGCGCTGGCGCTCCGTGTAACCGTCAAAAAGCCCGGCTACGGTTGAAGGTGGCTGCTGCAGGATGGGATGGGTTGCCTTATCTCGACAACGTCCATGTCCCTGCTTGCTTCATAGCACAAGAAATGTGATTGAGCAGCAAGAGGACCCGTTGCACGACCTGCAGCTCGTCCGTCTCACGAGAAGGAGAACAAAGCTGTCAGTTCTTTCAATGGAGGAGAGGCCAGGATCGGGCCGCCAGCCTCTGACGCAGCAGATCATGGAGATTACAGGGTCGCTGTGAAAGTGCCTGCAGATCAGCGACCTGGAACAAGCAGGGGTCGGGTGTCTAATTCACAGCGCTTCAACGGCCATTATTCCCGACCCCCGAGAAGTCAGTGATATGACCTACGGCAGGGATTGTATAGATGCATGTCGCGAAACGGAGCGGGTGTTTCAAGGTCGACAACCCTCTATTCAGCTGGGCTGTGAATATTTCTTTGAAAAGCAAACAAACACTGCTTCAACAAAACTCTTCCCCTTTCATGGAGACTCACAACCCGTTTTCGATGGTTCGTCATTCATGGCGATAAGCTCACGGCGGGCAACGATTTAGCCAGGGGCAGCACATGCACTAGCAGCATCTCAGCGCCAATCGACAGCGCCTCGAGCTCGCTAAAAGCTTCAGAGGCTTTTGGCTTCTCCTACAGGCGCCCTCCAGCAAAGTTGCCAACGTTGAGGGACCCACTGAAAAGGCCTGAAACGCGCTAGGGTGCTTCCTCTTGATTGACCGGCCCCACCAACGTCAATCCTCCAGAAAAAAAAAAGAAAAAGACCCGAGCTGAAATGATCCTGGCTTTCATCACGACGACAGCAAATCGAGGCCTCATGTTCATCCGACCCCCGACTTGGCCGAGGCCATCCAGGCCCTACATTGTTTCGCTTCGCCCTCGCTTAGCTTTTCGTCCCTTCCAATCCCCCCGAGTCTTGCCTTACCACACCGAGAATTCGGGATGCGTAAGGTTGGATCTGCCTTGCCAACTCAAGACCCAACCGCTCGGTCCGGCCACTCGCAGCCCCCCTTATTCTTCATCCCTATTTCCAGAGAGCAAAGCTTCTAGTTTGGTTCTAGTCTATTGTTGATGTGGGTATGACACCTGGCCGTCATTTCCACACTTTTATGCGGCGAGTCTCGATTGTCACGTTGCCTTCGAGATCGGATCAAGCCAGATTCTTCCGATGAGGCTATAGCATTTGGTGATTGCTACTACCATTGACTCTAGCCTCCTCCTATATGGGCTGCTTTACCGTCATTCTTGGTCTAGTTCCATGGTCGAGACC